CTAAGAGCAGCGAGCTCCGGAGCCGGACACGAGCCAGGTGCAAAGCCCGGCGCGCTCGGATCCGATCGAAGCGAGGAAATTCCCCGCTCGCAGCCCCCCAGCCCGGCCCGGAGACCCCGCGGGGAGACCAGTCCTGTGCCCCCGGCAGCGGGCAGCGGTCCCCCCGGTACGCCCAGCCCCGCCCCGCCGCAGCCGCCTGCTCCCCTCGGGCCGGGGACTCCCTGCTGCGCCCCGACCCCCAGCCCGAGCGCGGTCAGCCCAGCCCAGCCCCACGCCCGGGGGGCCCCGCCGGAGCCAGCACCGACCCGGGGACTCACCCACGTGCAGCAACAGCATCGTCCCCAGCCAAGCGGGCAGCTTCCAGCGGCCGCAGCCCATGGTGCCCCGGACCCCGCCCGCCCGCTGCCGCCCCGTGCGCCCGCTCCCAGCAGCCGGCAGCCTCCACTGAGCGCCCCCGGCGGGTCCCCTCCCCGGGCAAGCCGGAGCGCCCCGCCCCCAGCCGGCCCCTCCCTCCGCCCCGGCCCCGCCCCATGGCACCCACGGGGGGCGCCACGTCTTCCGCGCGGCTCCCGGGCCCTGCCCGGCCCCTCCGCCGCGGGGGGCTGGAGCCCCGGGGCCCCCGGGCCGATGGGGAGCCGAGTCTGGAGCCAGAGGCTGGGAGCTGCCTCTCCCCTGCAGCCCCGGTACCACCCGGACCCTTCGAAACAAGCCCGTCTACACTGGCGGGGAAAGCGCCCCGGGAACCCGGCTAGAAACAATCCCAGCACCTGCCCTGCGCCCCGCTCCTCAGCTTCCCCGGGGGCAGCCCGGCAACTCCTCCCGGCTCGGCCTAGCAAGTCATCCCCACGTCCTCCTCGTGTCTGCCGGCCTCCAGCTGGCCTGAGTTCTGGGGCGGGGAGGGGGTTACAATACAACCGGAGGGAATTTACCTCCTCACCCCCCTCTGCTCCCCGGGCCTGGGCCCTGTCCTCTGATCCTCTTCGGTTTGCTATCACACCCAGGCTCACGCCCCAGCGACTGTTACAGCGCCGGGGTTTCTGTCTGTGAAGCAGGGTTCAGGGCAGGCTGGCAGAGTTTACAGAATTGTTCTAGAGCCATTAACAGATAGGCCCCATCAACCAGGGTAATTTGCCTAATTACCCCCCACTACTGTTAGCCCCCAGAGGGCTGTGGTCACCCCCCCCCCCATGGAATTACCTACAATCCCTGGCCCCCGATGATCCATAACCGTAGCGCAGTGAGCGCTCCCACAGCTACTGTCCGAAATAGCCGGATCTGCCCCAGGGAGGATACGGCTTTTGCTTCTATTAAAACTTGACATTCAAGAAAGTGGGTTAAACTTGAGGAGCCTCGACTCTGCTGAGAGGTGAACGTGGGGTTTCTCTAGCATTTTGCGGTCTCGCTGCACTTCACAGAGACTTGAGTCAGATCCTGACAGCAGGGAAATGGGGCAAGTGGTGCTGGTGGCCAGGGCAGTGGATCACTCTATGGAGAAATGAAGCCCAGCACCTTCTCCCTCCAGGCACTACTGCCGCATTCGGGCATGGGCTGAGCGGGGCAAGCCAGGGCCAGGGCTGTGCAATTTGGTGCAGAATCGTGCCCCCAAATCTAAGCTTTCATTAAGAAAACAGGAAGTGTCTGTGTGTGGAAGTCATGCTGGGAAGGAAATCAAATGCAGCATTTGCTGACCCCCTGAAAAGAAGAGGTGTGAAATGTTCTTATTCCTCTTAAATAAAGGTTAACTCTGAAACTTAAGGATGACAGTGTAAAAGTCAACACTGTTAACTTTTTCACTGATTTTTTTTTTTATAAAGAAACACAGTCAGCTAGTGAGCTTTCTCCAGCTAGCTCCTGGCACAGTTACCCACACAATTTAGGGCTCTTTCCTCCCCCTCGGGGTACAATGGCTCTCTAAAAGTTAACGGGACCTTGTCTCAATAAAGGAGCCTTTATCACACAGTAAATATTCTTAAAACATGTATTTATTAGCAATTGAGAATACACATGCCAAGCATCTAGTGCTCACCTCTCCCACTAAAGCAGACTGCTGTCTCCCAATGGGCAGTCAGGACTCCGGCTTCCACACAGTCTAGTCATGCAGGAGTTAAAAATCCTAGCAGCTTTGGTCTTGAGCTGTATCCCGGTGTAAAGGTCCAATGAGCTTGTTTCCTGACCCTCATTACATAGTTAAAATGAGGATTTTGCTTATCTATGTCATAACCAATTATTTGACTCAAAGCATAGCTATGCAAAACACTAAGCAATTATTTTCACTACACAAAGATGCACATGCCTAAGACCACCTACTCATTAGCTTTTGTTGATTTCAAAATTAGCAAAATCTTTTCAAGGTCTACTTATCTTTACGCTTCATTAGTGGGATACACTTGCAACAGCAAAACCTTTTGCTTTTTATTATCAAGAAGAAGCTGCAGACACTCAAGGCTCCCATTCTCGTGACTTCGTTAATCTCTATCTATCCCTGTTAGCAATGCTGCAGCTGCTACATTTCTATCTGTCTGCCTACATCAAGGCCAAATTCTCCTGACTGTGTAGTTTTTGTTTTCAATTTATGGTGGCTAAACGTAGAAGATGGCTGCAGGTTACGCTAAGGTGGCTGTGGGTCATGTCAAGTCCAGGCCTCTAGTTACAACTCAGGGAATTACAAGTTCAAACCCACCCTTCTTTCCCCTTCCTTGTTAGATGAATGGAATTTGCAAATGAAGCACAAGTTAAGAGGAACTCAGCAAAGAAGTTAGTTCATATCTGTACTGTGAGGGACCTCCAGTAGCAGGAATGCCAACAAAGCTCTTGGAGATGAGCTCAGTCCAACAGCTAACAATGCTCACTCTCTGTGGGGCTGCATGGGACGGGGTTTTAACAGGAGTCCCCAGAGCCCGTCCTGCCCTCTCTGCAGCCTGGAAGAGGATACCCCCACAGCAACGCTCACCCTTCAGAAAGAAAAGGACACTGACAAATTTAAGAGACTCCAACAAAGGAGGGCACAGCTGATAAAAGGATTAGAGGGTATCAGCTAGGAAGAGATTAAGGGGACAGACTGTGCAAACCATGCAGGGGAGGGGGGAGAGACCAGACCAGTCAGACTGGCGGTTATTGTAGGGACCTGAGCAGTAGTAACAGACTAACTCCAAGGCAGGCGACCTGGCTGGAAGGGGGCATGGGAGTCCCATTACCACAGCTGTTCAAGGCTGCTCTGGGTTTTGATCCTGCTGGCCCTTTCCAGGGCGGCTAGGTGACCTGGCCAGCCCATTCTGGCTCCGGGGATTGGAGTGACTAGGCCGCAGCTCTTCAGCTGGCTGTACACAGAACGCACGGGAGCCCAAGGTTTCCTGCACAGTATTTTAATCCTTAAAGCCTTTTTGATTTATTGAGCTGCAAGAACCCCCCGAGCAGCAGCCCCATCTAGGCTGCCCTGGAGCAGCTGGAAGGCTGTTGCCAGGCCTGCCCCAGCTGATTGCCACCCCCGCATTCCCCACAGCCGGCAGGAGTCTTCCACGTGGCAGAGATTTTCACTGCATGGGGGGATGGGGCAGCTGCCACTGCGCTCGCCTGCAGTGGGGCTGGCTCCATGTCTCCAGGCACAGCTTCAGGGTTCACATTGTGCACGAACTTCTCTTGCTTCCAATTCCTACAAAGCGTTGCAGGTTTCTGCCACGCAGCAACGCTCCCGTCAGCTTGACCAGGAAGAGCGGCAGCATCGAGGCTGGGTTTAGCGGCCACACGCTAGCCAAGCCGGGCTGGATTCTCCTCATGGAGCTGCAGAGCAACACTGTCAGATCGCTGTGTTCTGGCCGGCCAGAGCGAGCCAGGAGGCGTCCCACGCCTGCAGCTGGCTATGGGGTGCGTTCGGGCGGAGGCAGGGTGCAGGACACAGATGTTCACCCTCAGGTGGGTCATGAAATTATTACTCAGGCCTGGTCTACACTAAAAACTAGGTCGACCTAGCTATGTCACTCAGGGGTGTGAAAAATTCACACCCTGGAGCAGCTTAGTTAAACCGACCTATTCCCTAGTGTACACGCCACTCTATTGATGGAAGAATTCTCACTGACCTAGCTACTGCCTCTCGGGGAGGTGGATTAACTACACTGACGGGAGAGCCCTCCTCTCCCGCCCACTGGCACAGGTAGCGTCTACACTGAAACGCTGCAGCTCTGCTGCTTCAAGTGTAGACGAGCCCCAAGGCTGATGAACTGCTCTTCCGCGGCTGTAGGGGCCTGACGGAGACACAGCCCTGCCCCAGAGGGTGCTCCTGGACCCAGCCACTGCTCCTGAGCACAGGGCAGCATCAGAGGAGCCAAGCTCTAAATGACAGTGACGCAGCTGGTATCAGGCACGTCACAGACCGCAATCAATGGGCCGCCTCCTTGGAGCAAGATCTTGTCCCCATTGCACCAGTGGCTTTGATCAGGCAGGTCAAAGCTAGTTGAACAGCAAGTTGGAGGCAGAGCCAGGAAGAGAACCCAGGAGTCCTGACCCCCGTTCCCACACTGCAGCCACTAGATCCCACTGCCTCCCAAGACTCCAGCTGCAGCTCTCCTTAAGAGTCCCTCCCCCCAACGGGAGCAGCTGTCCCGAGACGCCGTGCAAAGGGACGAGAACAGAGGCAGCGCCAGCAGCTCGGTTTTTCTCCAAAAGTTGTTTATTGAACGTTTCTTAATGTTATCCAAAAAAGAAAGATTCAAATTTTAGATAAAAAGAAAAAAAAAAAAACGTGTGTAAAATCTGAACTGAAGAAAAGGTCTGATCCATGGACATGTTCCAGCACACAGGAGGGGCTCACAACATGATACTCCCTGACCAACCTGCCCCGCTTGGCTCGCCCTTCAGAACCGATGCAGATGTGCACACACTGCCCCCTGCTGGTGCCTGACCCGCCCTGCATGGGGGACTAGCCAGGCTTCTTGCTGCTAGGCCAGTGCCACTGTGGGAACCAAGGGGCTAACAGAAACCATTTCCCCCCATCTGGCTGGGAAGGATTCTGTGGGCTCCTGGACTTCAGCCTGGGGCCCCCTCCCGGGAGTGAGGAATGCGTGCCCAGCTCACAGCCCCATCCCCGCTCCCCTCTCCTCCACTCCTGGGAGCAAACGCCCAACTCAAGGGGGAAGCAATGGAATGGCCGTGCTGCCGTGTGACAGGTGGTGGTGACTCAGGGACGGACGGGGGTGGGTGCCGAGAGGCCCAGCGCTCCCAGAAGAGGCTGTTTAAGAAAAGAAGCCAAGTGAGCGTGGAGTGATTATTTGGGGCTATACACAGCTGGCGTTAGCCTTAGCGACACCACACATTTACCTGGCAAGAGCTCTTAACACAAGCCACACGGGGTTAGTAACTACTGGCTCTGCAGGGCAGGCTCCCGTGCAGCAACCCGCAGGGCAGCCGGGCGCCGTTAGGTCATGCTGGGGGTGACCAGGCCCTGAAGCATGATCATGAGGCGGCGGGCCGGCTTGCTCAGGGTGTTGTGGGGCTCCGCCTGCAGGAACTGGAAGAGCTTCTGCCGCACCTGGTTCATGACCGACCCCATGTGGTCTCGGGTGATGGGGTCACTGTGGTCCAGGTGCATCACGGCCTCCTCCAGGTAGCTGAGGGGAGAAAGGAAAGCCCAAGGTTATCTCTCCACTTAGTGTGCAGCCCCAGCCAGGGAATGTGCAGGCGCCTCCTGTCTCACCTGCCCCGGCTCAGGTAGCTAGCTCCTGATTTGCCTCTTAGCAAGGAGTCCGAGGCTGCCCCCCCACTTCAGCACATGGGGCAGCCTGCAGACAGCTCCCAGCGTGCCATGTGCAGCATGGTCGCTCGGACTCACGGGCTAGAACTCTGCCTGGGCTGAACTTTGTGCCGGGTCTATAAAGCACAAGGGGTTTCTTCAGTGGTGGTTTTCACTGCATGAAGCAGAATGAGAGATTTATTTGGCACTGGGGCAACATGTGACCTACCAGTTCTCAAGCCCCAAAAAATAGGCAGCAGGATGATCATCAAATCTGAGCATATGGCAGGAAATCACCTTGACCCAGACAGCAATTTAATGTGTCCTTCCATAGAGCCAACTTAGGACTGTTGGGGGAATCAAAGGCTAGATCTCCCTTTTCAAAGTCCCTCTATCGAGTCCTAGGGGAATTTGCCTTTCCAGGCTTCCAGACAGTTCTGTTGTCCTTCTCAAGCTCTTTTATTTCAGAGGCCATGTGCACTGCTGCTCTGCAATCATGGAATCAGCTCCTCTCTGCTCCAGGATCTCTGCTGTCCTAGTAGAGAGCTGCGTCTCCTGCCCTCATGGCTGTGAGGGAAACCTTCACCCTGTGCAGCCTAAGAGCCAGTTCCCACCCCTGAGAGTCACTGCTTCAGGCTAAGTGGGACGTTGACTCTGAAACCTAAAGATGTCAGTTTTACACGAAAGTGTTAACGACTTCACTGCGGAGCACTTTAGTAAAAACACCCACAGTCCCAAACTGCTATCTACCAACCCTCCCTCCAACAACTTCCGCCAGGCACCATCGGCACATGGAAATTAAAGCTCACGGGGCAGCGTAAAGTTATATTAACTATCAAATCAGCCCAGATGAACTGCGCTGGCTGTCCTGTTCATTAGTGGATTCAGTTCAACAGACACCTCCACATTTTCATATCTCTGAACCTCCAGTGAAGTGCCCCAGAATCCAGGAGCCTGGCCTGGAGACTGCCAAGCCGGGGCTAAGCCCATTGTCCCATGGGGTGACCAGAACGGAGCACAGGACTCCAGGGGAGGGCACATCACTGGCTTAGAGCCACACTCAGCCAACAGCCCAGCTCAGCACTCAGGACAGTGGTGATGGAAGCTAAAGCAAACTCTATGGCTGAGTGGCCGTTATTTTTCACTGCATCCGTGCTCTGAGCAGAGCCTCTCACTGAGCCGTCCACAACGACGCTCTGGTCTTCTCCTGAGCTGAGAAGCCAGGAACACGCCTGAGGAGTTCGAGTTGTTCCTCAGAACGAGCATTGCCTGGTACGAGTCTACAACCGACACACGCTGGTATTGCTGTCGCTGGGGTGGGGCAGGGCGAAGCTCCGGAACGACACTCACTTCAGTTTCAGTTCGGTGCGGGTGCCCAGATCCGAGGAGAGCTGCTGAATGAGAGACAGGAGGACGGGCTGGGAGAGCGGACATGGGTGCTGTCCAAACACCTGCTGAGGATCCATCGTCTCACAGACGTACAGGACCAGGTTCAGATCAGCTGCCGTGAGAGCCTACGGGAGACATGTATTTAGAGATGTTGGGGTGGAGGGGGACTGAGGAGCACTACAATGGAGGGAGGAGGCCCTGCTGGGGCACAGCTGAACACCAGCCTTCCTGCCCAGAGGTCTCAGCTCACTCAACGCACCAGCTGAAAGGCGCTTGGGGGGACGCACCACGCATGGCAAGGACAGCTGTCTCCACTCAGGAGCCCCAGGACTGGAGCAGCGGATTGAGACTGCAGGCCTCAGCACAGCTGCGTGGGGAGCTCGCTCGGTGCACTGCCTCCACCGTCCATGCATGTAGCCCCTTCGCTCCCAGGAACACCATGAGCATGGCCTGCATTCGTTCAGAGCGCGGGGCGGGGGAAACCAGGGTAGGATGGTGCTCAGATCCCACCTGGGACCAGGAGAGGAATCTATACACTACAGTTCTGCGCCCCCTGCTGGCTCAGTGGCAGAGTAACAGTGCCCGGCACTTACAGATGTTGGTCTACAGGGGTCAAGCACATCCGTTACTTTAATACACAGCACTACAAGGCTTTCTATGGTCAAGGGCTTCACAGTTAACCCTTCACCTGCCCCACCCCAGCGCCGTCAGAATGGGAAGCACCGGCTCCACAATGCTGCAGTGGCCAGAGCTGCCGACCCCCTTGGCAAAGCCTGGCTCCTGAGGACCTACAGCAGAACAAGGGGGCCTCTCCTCCCTTGGGCAGAGCCAGGGGACACGTCTTGGTGCCTCTGGGAGGATCAGGCCTACGTGGCGGCCTGCGTACCTGCTGGAAAGCCTGGTTGAGGCGGCCCTGCTGCAGCAGCTGCAGGACGTGAGTCTGCTGAGACTGGAAGTCCAGGTGAGCAGAGGGGATGGGCGTGCCTGCTGCGGAGCGCATGGCCTGCACGATGCTCGAGGTGACGGCCGCTTGCTGCTCCTTCATGGCCAGGCTCACCTCGCCCTTGATGACCCTCTGCACCTGGGTCAGAATAGAGTCCTGCATGCTAGAAACAGAGGGAGGCGTGAGAACAGGACGGAGCTGCCAGGGATTTCGCTGCTCTCGCACTGGTCAAGCAGGGCTCCAGCTATTAGCATAGGCACTTTTCACGGTTTACATTTGCATGAGCCCCAAGGGTTAACATGAAGTGCTTTGGTGCCCAGGCACAGACACTAAGTACCTGGAATTCGGCAGAGCCCCTGCACAGGCACCCTGGGGCTAGGAATCTGCAGAAGAGGCATTTGTTAACGATCAGATGTTTGAACCTCTGAATGCATCTGGTGCTGGTGAAAGGCCGTAGAGATCCACAAGTCTCCACTCAAGCCGTGACAGGGGAGAGTTAGTGCCAATGCAGAGGGTGCTCTCTGAGATGTGGACACCTGTCTGCCGGGACACGGGCCCCAGCTCATAATGGGCATAAAGGGCCAAACTCTGGCCAGCTGCAGCCATGTCTGACCAGCGGAGACTTCCCAGTGGGACAGGAGAATCCGCTCTCGGGCAAGGTACATGCTGGGCTGGCTGGAAACACGCAGGGACGCTCCCTCCAGGCCTTTCAACAGCGAGTGTCGAGGATCAGCTCCCCCAGCTGCAAGTTTGTTTCACTGCTGGGGTCCCCCTAGATGCCAAGGCATGCGCTGCTGCAGAACAGGCGGGAGAGTGAGGAATTCCCCCAGGTTGGCTGAGGACATGGCGCATCAGGGAGACGCTGCGAAGAGCAGCGACAAATCAGAGTCCTTATGGAAGGGAGTGGCTGTGCCCATGGTGTGCCCGGGGCAGCGTGTGCGTGCCAGGGACCAAGCCTCCATTTAGAACGAAGAGGCAGCTGCATGTTACAGAGAGAGCCACAAGCCGGGTCTTTGGCACCCCCCCCGCTGCCCTTGCCCGTCCCTCCTGCACATCCAATCCAGCGGGACCCCAGACCCAACGCCCGACTTACTTGCCCACAATGACGTGCAGCTGATGCTGCACTTCGGTGTGCACGCTGGTGGTGATGCTGGAGGCTAGCTGCTCTGTGCTGCTCTGGAAGGTGCTGATCAGCTGCCGGAGCTGGCCCAGCAAGGAGTCTCGAGCCTCCTGCTCTCGCGCCTTCTTGTTCTTCATGTGAGTCTCCAGCTGCTGGATATCTGCAACAGCCAGGCGGTCCCTCAGAGGGCTGCCCATCACCATGCCACCCCCAGCAGAGCCCAGCCACTGGGGGGCTACCAAACCCTGCGTGTGATCTGTGAAGGCCGGGCTCCTCCCCATCAGGCGCAAAGGGCCGTGTGCCTGGCAGAACAGCGAACCCGACAGGTTCTGAGTGGCTGGGCTTTGCTGGGCTGTTCCGGTGGGGCGGGGCAGGGCAGGGTGTATACTACAGCCCAATAAGGCCACAGGACAGGCACTTGGGACATTTCCTAGGCTGGAGCCAGGAGCGGGGAGGCCTGCAGAGATCAAAGGGGCTATTTCGTGACTGATTTTGTGGTTCAGAAGATGGTCTGATCAAAGGCAATGGGGATGCAGGGTCTGCAAAGGAGCAGCAGCCTTTGAGAGCTCGCAAGGGAAGGGAGGGGCCTGCCGGCCTGGGGAACGTGTCGCTGGGCGAATGGCTGGAGTCAAGCAGTGCCTGTGGGCTGGGGTCGGAGGAGCAGGTTGCCCGACAGCACGCTGGGGAGCAAGCTCAGGGCTCGGCTCACTGGGGGGTGCAGACAGGCAGGGACGAGAGCCCCTTGTGCAGCACTGCACAGTCCCTCCCAGCCATCCTGGGGTGCCCAGGGGAGCTCACTTCCTCCGGCAGCATCCCAGGTTGGCCACTGACAGACAGGGTCCAGCGTGGACACGGTCCTGCCCTGCAGCTGAGCAAGAGAAATGGCTGGTACAGTGGGGCTATCTTGCCAGCAGAACTAGAGACACGGCCCAGCAGTCTGAGAACGGGACTGGGAGCCAGGAGCACCCCAGATCTAATCTGAGCTCTTAATGTCCTCTCCAAGCTCCCCTCACCCCTTCCTGTTTCCCCATCTGTAGCAGCGGGATTACACTTCCCTTCCTCATGGAGCGGCCGTGAGGAGCAGTGATTCTCCGTGAAGCTCTCGGGCAAGGAACCGCGCTACATGAGGGCAGATCTCGGTTTCCAACAGGACTCACATTCCTGCGTCCCCTGCTTGAAGGTGTCGTTGATTTGCTGGAACATGGACTGGCAGCTCTTCTCAAACGCCGGCAACACAACGCTCTGGAACGCCTCCCTGTACGCCGACTGGATGGGCCCCTGCAGAGCGTCCGCCGCTGCCCTCGCAATGGCATCTGTCAGGTTCTTGCAAGAACACACGGGACCCCGAGTTTAGCATTTTCCTGCTGCACGCCTCGGATGGAGGCACTTTGTCTCCCCCGGCCCATCTGCAAGCCCCTGGGCAAGCCAGAAGCAGTTAACCCCCCTTCCATTTGCCCTGGGCCACGAGACCACCAAGCCTAAGCGTTGACACTACGATCTGATGGCTGGGGGACCTGAACGAGTGCGCCCGAAGGAACATCCAGGAGCAAAGAGGAGCAATCACAGCAGTGATCTTCCGCCCAAAGCAGAGCGAGCCTGGACACGGCAACCCCACGGGAGGGAAATCGCTGCCCATCTGGAGAGCGACGGGAGCGCGAGCACTGAGCAGCAGGAACTCGGACTCTGGGAATTCACTCTGGTTAGCTTAGACCAGGGGTTCTCACGCGACTGCCCTGCCCTGTCATTGCACCGCGACCCCTTCCGACAACAAAATTACTACATGGCCCTGGGGCAGAGGGGGCCGGAGCCCAAGCCCCAGGTCTCAGCAAGTCTAATACTGGCCCTGGCCCGACCCACAGCTTGAGAACTGCTGGCTCAGACCAACACAGTCTGAGAGAAAGCAGCTGGATGGCCATAAATCAAAGATCATGGCAGTGTGTGAACTTTGATGGGGCGGGGGGGGGGGTTAATGAATAAAATGGCACTGTGCCAAGTCTTGGGGGACCCCAGGAGGTGGGATTAGTTCCCAATTTAACATCTTCATTAGTGATTAGTATGAAGGGGCGTCGCGAGCTCGTCAGACACTCTGGAGGCGGCTGCAAACACTCGTGAGCAGAGAGGAATTACGCGTACAGGGCTCTAATTCAACACACGGGCAGGAAACAACAGGAGATTCCACTTGGGAAAATGCAGCTAAACCGCACTGGGAAAAACACCCCCAGACACTCATGTGACGAGGGACAGAGCAGCTGCCCCTGGCCCCGGATCACCACCACTTGCCACCCGGCTAGATCTGAGCGATGGGACGGAGAGACAACGCGAAGTGTCAAACACCGTTCTCCCATCCGGCTGCCTGTTGTCCTGCTCACGCTGAGAGGCAGCCCTGGTGCCCATCACCTGCACATGCCAACGGCTCCCACTGGCCTTGGGGTGAAGTGCAGGAACAGACTTGCCGACCCAGGCTGGCTGCACTGGGGCTGTTCCCGACACTGAGGCACAGCTTCTGGGCCTGAGCCTGTTTTCAGCTCCCGGGGGAGGCGAAGGCACTTTCGGGAATGATCGCTGGCCATGGGTTCAAACACGCAGTGCCCTCCTGGACAAGGAAACTAGGCAGAGCAAGGCCTAAGGAGCGGAGCAGAGACTGGGGGGAGCTGGTGCCTGGCTCCACAACAATCCTGACAAGGGGTCTCATCTGCCTATGCTTGCAGCTAAACTGTGTTCAGCCCCCGCTGAGGGCAGGTAATGTGTCAGCTGTGGGTGGCTCACCCCAGAAGGGGAACGCAGGATGGCCAGGCGGTTGTTGGTCTGGGCCTTACCTTTGATTTCACTAGCTTGGTGACGTTTTCCTTCAATGTCCCCTCGACGGCCGTGAGCTTGGCGGCAATCGTATTGCTCAGCTGGCTAGTGACAGGGTCCAGGCTCTTGGAAATGCCTGGGCAGGACACAAAGGAAAAGGTGACCCAGGTTCACCCAAGTGCTTTGGCTTTTCCCTTGCTGGGAGGGGGCCATGGCACCCAGTATCACCTCAGGCCTGGTCTACACATAAAACCTCATTGTCCTCAGGGGTGTGAAAAATCCACCCTCGAGCACCGCAGCTCTGCCGACCTACCGCCTGCTGTCTAGGTGGCTAGGTCAGGGGTGGACAAACGTTTTGGTCCGAGGGCCACATCTGGGTATGGAAATTGTATGGCGCGCCATGAATGCTCACAAAATTAGGGGTTGGAGGGTGGGAGGGCTCCGGCTGGGGGTGCGGGCTCTGGAGTGGGACTGGGGATGAGGTGTTGGGGGTGCAGGTGGGTGCTCCAGGCTGGGACCGAGGGGTTCAGAGGGCAGGAGGGGGATCAGGGCAGGGGCAGGGGGTTGGAGCATGGGGAGGGGTTCAGGGGGGCAGGCTCCAGACGGCACTTACCTCAAGCAGCTCCCAGAAACAGCGGCATGTCCCCCATCCAGCTCCTACACGGAGGCGCAGCCAGGCAGTTCTGTGCACTGCCCTGTCTCCGGGCACCACCCCTGCAGCTCCCATTGGCTGCGGTTTCCAGCCAATGGGAGCTGCGTGGGCAGCGCTTGGGGCGGGGGCAGCGTGCAGAGCCCTCTGTCTGCCCCTACGCATAGGAGCCGGAGGGGGGGAATATATCCCTGCTTCCGGGAGCTGTGCGGAGTGGGGCAAGACCACAACCCCACTCCCTGGCTGGAGCACCAGAGCGGGGCAAGCCCCGTACCCCACTTCCTGGCGGGGAGCTCGAGGGCCGGGTTAAAACGTCTGGAGGGCCGGTTGTGGCCCCTGGGCCGTAGTTTGTCCACCACTGGGCTATGTCAATGGACGAATGCTTCTGTCAGCCTAGCTACCATCGCTTGGGGAGACAGAGTTCCTACGGCAACGGAAAAACCCTTCCTCGCTCTACTTTACGCCCGGCATGTAGATGGGGCTCAAGACCCCTTCCAGGGCAGCACATCCCTCCCCCAGGAGCTCCTGCGAGCCCGTCACAGCTCCCC